TATATTTAGGGAAAAACGTTCAAAATGGAAGGAAATAATGTTTGATTCCAAAGCCATGGTGATGTGTTGTTGCCAAGATGTTGTGCTACCTGAAGAATAATCAGTTGATTAATTGTCAGGTGCGTATTGTGAGCCACAGTTTTCTCACCTCAAAGAAAATAATAGTAACATAGAACTCATAGAACTGGTTGTTGATGTCTTTTTTTTTTCTTTTTTTTGCGGTGCTAAGGAGCAAACCTAGGATCTGGTTTTGATGCTAGATAAACCCTCTATAATTGAGCTATATCCCCCTGAAAGATAACACTGATGTAAAGCATTTGGCTAACAGTCTTCAACAAATATTGGTAAAAGTCACAAATTTGAAAATAACTGTATAAGTTTTAGAGTCAATATTTAAAAGATAAAACAAAGAAACATAAAATGTATTTTTATATGGTATAAGCTCTGATGGCCCTTTGAGAAGGAAAATAAAGAGCTTAATGGATCTCATGGAAGGGAAAAAATCTTTAATTCTTGTCATTTTATTTCACTTGATATCCATCACATTACTATATCTTCTGGGAATCATACACATTTGTGCACTAGGGTACTCAACAGATAATTCTTTGTGTCTGCTTGACAGAAAACTGATATGAGATACAGGAATTATTAGGCCCTGATGTGGTTTGGGTAAGGTTTAAGTGTATCCCCCAAGAGTTTATGTGTCAGAAGCTTTGTCCCTAGTGTGGTAGTGTGGGAAGTGATGGAAACTCTTAAGAGGTGAAGCCTACTTGAAGGTCATTAGGAAATTTAGGGCATTGCCCTCTAAAAGAATTGATGTATGTAGTTCTCATGGTACACCCTAGTTTGCACAGGGGAGTTGTTACAAAAGAGTGAGCCTGACTGCTGAATTGCTCTCCAGTTTTCTGTCTTGCCATGTGATCTAACCCTCTTCCTTGTACTCATGCCATGGTACCATTTACTATGCTGTGCTGTAGCCAGAGCAGAGTCAATGTTGATGGCATGCTCTTGGATGTACAGAACTGTGATGTAAATAATGCCTTTTTAAAATAAAGTACCCAGCCTCAGATATTTTAGTATAGTAATAGGAAAAGGACTAATACAGTCCCAGTGCCAGACTTAGAGATGACTACATACTTCCAATAACTTACTCTTCTTTTATTGGCTTTACCAGCTAAAAACAATTGAGCATATACAAACACAACTTTAAGAGAAGCAAGGGAGCTGTAAAATATTTGGATATACTGTCTCTAGGAAAGATTAAAAATCTTGAATGGCAGCTGCTTTTTGCTGGCTTCATAGAAATGTTTCCAGAAACCCTTAGAATGTCCTTAAAAGGGAAAGGCGCTTTGCTGCCATTATTAACTTTTGTACTTCTAACAGCCCTGCAAGAAAAATACTTAATTTCCATTTTATATATGAAAGAAAAACTAAACAGAATTTGGGTCATGTGCCCAAAGATATCACCACCTTACCTGAGCAGAGAAGACCTCTACTCAAGGCCTCTGGCCCTCTGGATGGTGTCTTTCCCATGTAATGGTGAAGCAATTGGGCAAGATATGCCTAGTTGGAATCTTCTCTCCTTTTAGACCATACAATAGATATAAAGAATCTTGTAACCTGCCTGTCATGATTTGGATGGGTGTCTCCCAAACGTCTATAGTCCCCAGGATGGCCACATTGGGAGGTTCTGTGGACCTTTAAGAAGTAGGGACTTGTAGGAGGTCTTTATTTTTGAGGCTTTATATTTTATTTGGAAATTTCCTACATGAACTTACATTGTTTTTCCCAGCTGTAATCTTGGTTTTATGTACAAATACACAGCTACCATCTTAGTTTTGATGTATACTCTAGCAGGGTAGAAAACCAAACAAAAAGTCATGCTTTGTGAATGTGGCATAAGATTTCATGCATTCTCATTATATGATGTCAATAATCAATTATATTAAACTGTAACAATGTAGTACATGCTTTAAGTATCCAATAACACAAATACTGCAGACAATGTCTCAGTAGCAAGGGACTGTGAAGGTATCGCATTGGACTGATGTGGTAGCAATCCAGGAGACTAAACACATTATTATTCAAATTAAAACATAAAAAGAATAAAATATTAGATTTTCATTTCTGCTTTATAGAATATTTTCTCCAAGGAAATTACAAAATAGATTTGGGTTTTAAGGGAATTTTTAATACACAAGTCATTTTTTCTAGTGAGTTGAAAAAGTACGGGAACATAAGAACAAAGCTTAGTACTTTATTATTTACTTTTGGAAAAGCATGTTGACAAATATTAAATGTTTTATCTGCATTTTAACCTTAAAACAAATAAAAACACAAAAATCCAGTGTTGATACTGATCTTCCATGCCTAATTTGGATTTAAGATATTGAGTAATTTATATTTTATAGAAAGAAACTTTCAAAGTTTCATCAATTCTTTTATTGTATGTACTATATTATTCTTTAGCAAAACCTTCACTGAAATTTGAAAAGCTGGTGTTGAGTAGTTTTTTTTAAACATTCTATAACATGCCTTTGAAGTAACCTTTAAAATTTCAAATCAAGAAAGATACATGAATAGAGTACCCAAAAATATATTTTAACACAGGTTAATTTTGTTTATAATGATGACAGAAACACCTTTAAAGATAGGAAAAATCAAACCAAAAAACCCTATGCAAATATAAAAGGTATTTTGGGTCAAGTTATTTTTTAGTACAAATAATATACCATGTCAATCAATTTCTCAATCAACTTCACAAAATCATTAAACATTGAACTTTATAGTTGTTAAGTAATTCATTGATGTAGTGGAAGAAGATATAAGAAAACTTACAGAACCAAAATGTCAGACTATTCCAACTCCTAAAATAAAATTTCCCAAATTAAGAAATTACCAATATTGTTTGGAAAGTATGCCTTACTCATACTCTCAAATTCACTTTAATTGTTTGACCTATAATTTAGTACTTTAAAAGACTTCAGCTAAATTGTTTAATATTTTTAGAATGTAACCTCTCTGGATCGACATGTTTCACATTATAGTTTTCAATTAAGAAGAAATCACTGGATAGTTTTAGTCACAATTTGTGATCAACTGATTAGTGGATTAACAATTTAGACAGTAATTTATAAAACCAATAAAAGGAATAAATGTGGTAATTCTTCACTGTGAAATATGGTCTATTAGTAATACCAACACAAGAATCTGACAGTCTGCTCAATTGGCATCTGTTCCATGTGTGTTATTAAGCAACAACAAGTAGTTATACTATGTCAAGCTTTTTCATTTCTTTCGTTGTTTCATTTTTTTTGAAGAGCAGCTCTATGATTTGTGGGGGTTGGTTAGTATAATACAGATAACATAGGAGAAAAGTACAAAACAGCACTTTAACACCAGTGCTAGAAGTTATCTCATTATGGAAATAACTATGGATATTATGTTTTGTTATTTGCTTTTATTAGACCATAAATTAAAGCCATTAACTTGAACTTGAGGTATTTACACACTACATACACAAACTTAAGCAAAATACTTTTTGTAAATAACATTACATTTCAAAATATTAGGAATAGTATGTGCTGATTTGTATTTTGACTTAATGGAATAAGAAGCGATTAACATTCAACTAGGGAGAGTTTCATTGACAATAAAGCTCTTTAAAGTTCAAAATGTCTTCCTCTCCCTTCGTACTTAGCACAGGCTCTGCAATGTCCTGAGAGGATTTATTATGAGGAAAATATCAATCACAGCTTCAATAACATACTTTGGAAGGAACTAATGAAAAAGCAAATTGGAAAGTGAAACTTCATCCTTGTTTTCAAATGAGTGGTTTTAGTTTTTATTCTTTAGAAAGAGTTTAAATCAGTTTATTATAAATATATCTAGGCCATTCATTTTTGCAGCTTTCAGGTAAAGTCCAGAGCTTTGTTTACACAAAGTCTACAAGAATACATCAGTAGAGATCTAATATTAAATCATGACATCATCCATTCAAGCCCTTGGCATAATCCTTCACCTGCAAGAGCACAGCAGGCCTGGATGTGCCACTGGTAATTTTTAATAGAAGTGAACTTCAAGAACTGGGAGATTTCTGCTACAGTCATGCACTCTTTAATATCTTGTTTATTAGCAAAAATCAGCAGTCCAGCTTTTCTTAGGTACTCATGAGTTTGTAGAGTTCTTTAATTATAGAAATTCTCTGTCTGTACTGTCCACAACAACTATTACAAACTCTGTATTAGTACAGTAAGTATTCCAGGAAGAGTGAAGAGATTCTTGGCCATTAATATCCCACACCAGGAAGAACGTGTTATTAATTACTATCTCTTTTACATGACTTCCTATGGTAGGGGATGTATGTACTTCATTCATACAAAATTGGTAAAAGATGGTAGCTTTCCCTGCATTATTCAACCCAATCATGATAACTTTGTGTTCCTGGTGATTGAACCGTTTCCATATCTTGGTGAAGAGAATTAACATTCTCTGGAAGCGAAGCCCCTCCAGCCACCCTGACCGCCAGGCCTCCCCTGGCTCAGGCTGAGGGGAAGAAAGGAGCTGGAGCCTTGGCCTCTGCTGCTGCTGATCCCGAGCTGACTGCCTGCCTGCTTCCAGGAAACTAAAGAGAGGCCAAAGCCTAGCGGCCCTGAGGCAACGCTTGCGCAAGTCCCCGCTACCTCAGCTCTCGCGTGGCTGGCAGAAATGGCCGGCCACCGTCCTCCCCCAGTTTCTCCAGGTGGTCTTTATTTTATTACTTTTATTAGTACATGCTTGCAGTACATAATGTTTACATTCACTGTAGGGAATCTGTACACGTAAATAACACATTTCAATTCTTTTTTCCCCTTCCCTCCATCCCTTTTATTTTTTTCCAGCAATAGATTCATTTACTTATAAGATTTTAGAAAGTTAATTATCATATATTAGTCACAGGTGGCATGCTAGTGAAGGGATTGTGGGATCTTGGCCTTTTAGTCTTTCTCTTTGCTTCCTGCTTCATAAAATAAGTACTTTGCTCTTGCACATGCTCCCATTATGATATACTGTCCCCATCAGTGGCCAAAAATGATGAGGCCACTTGATCTTGGACTGGCCAAAGAATTATGAGTCAAAAATAAGTTTGTTCTCATTATAAGTCAATTGCCTCAGGTACTTTATTGTAGTAGCAGAAAGCTGATTGAGGCAAGACCTTAGAACATTATATCAGTTGGGGTTCATTAGAGAACAGATTATTTAGTAGGACAGATTTATTTATTTATTTATTTATTTTTATTTGAGTATATTGATACATTTTAGGTATACAGTACAGTTGCATTCATTATTGGGATCTTGTACCTTTACAAGATAGGTCTTGGTTCTCATTTTCCCCCCTTGTCCCTGCCCTCCCTTCACCCCTTCCTCCCCTCTCCATTTGCAAGCACTTTATTTCCATTTTTTCATGTTCTCCTATATTTTTTCTTTTCCCTTATTACCTTTCCCCTACCCTTCCCACTTTCCCTACACCTTTACCCCTTTTCTTCCTATTTCACATTATCAATTATCTCATTAGGATCTTATGTACTATTATAGTTTTTCACACCAGAGAAACTATTCCGTGTTTACACATATGAGACTTATTTATTTGACTTAGGAGTATATCCTCAATATGTATCCATGTTCCTATGAATGAAACTAATTTCTCATTCTTTATGGCTGAGTAGTATTCCATTTTATATAAAAACCACATCTTCTTTATCCAGTTTCCAACTGATGGGCAAATGGGCTGTTATATGCATGTATAAAAAAGTCTCTGTAAAATATATTATTCTGTACATTTAATATGTACTAATAAGGCAATACAACAACTTCATGGAGTTTTTCACACACCAGTTTTCATTTCATTACCACAGACATATATTTATTTTTGACATTTTGATTTTCAAATATTCTATATCCTTATATTTAAGGTTCATCTGATCTACTCTAATTATTGACACATTTGTGTTTATGCCTCCTACATATTACTTGATTTCTATGGACTCCATCTGCTCTATATCTCTACTGATTAAATTAGACCAAGAGTTCTTAATAGAATAACCTTACAGACTTGCTAAATTTGTGTTTAAAATTGTGTGCCCATAAGGATACACTGATGGCTCAACAAACACAAATCATTAAATGTAATTCATCACATAAACAGAACTAAGGACAAAAATCATATGATCATTAGAATAGATTCAGGAAAAGCCTTTGACAAAGTTCACTGACCATTCAGATAAAAATGCTGAAATAAACAGCTATAGAAGGATCTTAGCTCAACCTGATAAAAGCCATTTATGACAAACCCACGGCTACCATCATATTAACTGGGAAAAACTGAAAGCTTTCCCTCTAAAATCAGGAAAAGACAAGGAAGTACATTTTCACCACTGCTATTCAACATACTATTTGAAGCATTAGCAAGAGCATAGGATAAGAGGAAGGTATAAAACGAATGTGTGTAAGAAAAGAAGAAACTGAATTATTATTATCTGCCAATGACATGATAGTCTATGTAGAAGAAACTAAAAAGTCCACCCAAAGACTCTTAGAATTAATGAAATGAGAAAGAAATTAGGAAAAAGTACCATTCACAATAGCGCCAATAAAAATTAAATACTTAGGAATTAACCTAAGGAAGTGAAAGACCTTTACAGTGAAAGCTACAGCACTCTGAAAAAGAAAATCAAAAGAGAATAACAAACTTTATTTCCAGTTTTCCTTTTCTCATATTTATTCTTTTCCTTTCTTTCCCTACCCTTCCCACCACCCCTTCCCCTTTGGACCTTTTTTTTCTTGTTTCCTATTATCTAATATACATTTTGACCCATATTTAAACTTTTAGTTTCTCACACCAGAGAAACTATTTGGTATTTACACGTCTGTCCTATTTATTTCACTTAAGAGTATGGCCTCAAGGTGCATCCTTTACGCTATAAATGTCTCTATTTCTCATTCTTTATGGCTCAGTAGTACTCCATTTTATTAAACACACACACACACACACACACACACACAAACACACACACACAAATCTTTATTCAGTCTCCATTGGGCTGTTTCCAAGTCTTAGCTATTACAAACTGTGCCACTATAAACATGGGTGCACATATATAATTGTGGCATGATTCTTTTAATTCTTTTGGAAAACACCCATCAGGGGAAATAGCTTGGTCAAATGCGACCTAGTTTTTTGAGGTATCACTATAGCAATTCCCACAGTGGTTACACCAGTATACACTCCCACCAACAGTGGAGAAGGGTTCCTTTTTACTCACAACCCTGTCAGCATTTGTTATTCGTTGATTTCTTGATAGCAGTCATTCTTTCTGGAGCGAGATGGAATCTCAGCACCGTTTTCAATACATGAAATTACAAGAAACTTACTCCATACAGTAAAGATAAGATATAAGAGAAGAAGGGGATGAAAGAGTATGAGAGACTGAGGCAGAAGCTGAGTCAAGTTAATAAGAGAGCATTATAGTACCAGGTACTACCTCTTAGCTATGCAATAGAAATTTGCCATCTGTTCTCATATTCCCTTGAGGTCATTTTCTTTGCTGCCTCATAAATGATCACCATGGATCCTACCTCAACTGAACTAGCCTCAGTTTCTATTATTTAAAACTATCAAGGCTATTTGAAATGGTGGTTATCTATTTTTCTAAGAATCAACAAAATATCCAGGCATGGTGGTGCATACATGTAATCCTAGGACATGGAGGCCGAGACAGAAGGATAGTTGTGAATTCGAGGTCAGCCTGGGCTACATAGTGAGTTCAAGGTCTGCCTGAACAATGTAGGAAGACCTTGTCTCAAAAAATCAAAAACAAAACAAATCAACAAAATAGCAGTGGTTGTAATAGATTGAAAAACTTGGGAAGGTTATATCAATATGATATAGAAGAAAGACACATGTAGAAAATAAGTGTGAATTATTCAGCCTCACTAGGGGTCAGAATAAATAAAATGAAAATTTATGACACTTTTAATTTGCCTTTCAAATTGATGAATAAAAAACATATCCATTTTATATGAGATGATTCTCATGCACTGTCAATCTAAGTATAAATTGTTTACATTATCTTGTAGTCCTTCATGGCTACATACATAAAAATATTTTTTTCAAATGCTGAGACCTAGCAATTTCACTTTTAGAAAGTTTTCCTTAGGTAGTAATTATAACCGTGTATAAAGATTGTGGCGAAGATGTGGGTTATAACAAATACCTACATGCGACCTAATATTAAACAAGAAAGTGTTGACTAAATTGCCATTGATTTTAACAGGATAAAATACAATATTTAATTGTGTAGAAACATTTACATTGCTTTGTTATCTAGAAAATATGTAAAATATAGTGCCTCACTATGGCAAATACATTTTATATGCATATAACTGCCTAAGTACTGTCCAGATTCAGATTCCACAATCTAGAAAGAAGAGGGAAAAATTATTGAAGTAGTACAGAGCATGTCATAATAGTTGCACTGAACCTACGTTCAGCCATAACCACCACCAATAGATATAAAAGCCTCTAAAAGGCAAATGAACTTCTACCCAGCAAGAAACCATACGACAGCATAAGACAACTAATGGTAAAGGTACAGGACCTGGGTTCCTTCAGACTCCACTGCCTTCTTCTTTCCTTCTGTCTAGGATGTGCCCATCCACTAATACATAGGTTAAGGCCCAATATCTTCCCTTCCATTTATCTTTCCTACAAATGACCCACATGTGAAAGAGACTATCTTCCTAGCTATAGTACCTCTTTCACCCCTACCTCTTGGCTTGGAGTGAACTCACAGGAGATGTGATACACTTTCAAGAAGAAAGACCTGAAGAAAAGACATATGCAGTCTTAGGATTTGTGTTCCAAGTCCTATAGTTAGTGATATTTGTGATCATTAATTGTGGTACATGATCTTGACTAGAGTAAAAAACAGACAAAAATAACAAAAAACAAAAAACAAAAAACCTACCAGATTAGTAAAGCTCTGGATATGTTTGTGGATGATTGACATGTAGGCTAAAAATGGAGGATAGAAGACCCATTCCAGAAGTGGATGACAACCAATAATATAGCCTCTATGGGATAGAAGGGGAAAGAAGTAAATCTTTCCTTTTCTTTTTCAGAAAAGCTCTTGTCTTTGCCATTGCCTGTGGACATTGGTCTCCACTTTCCTCAGGTTACCAGTGCAAACTCTTCAGCTTTCTTTTTTTTTTTGGTACCGGGGATTGAACCCGGGTCCTTGTGCTTGCAAGGCAGGTCACCGAACTGCTGAGCTAAATCCCCGGCCCCTCTTCAGCTTTCTAATTCAGACTCTTCAGCTTTCCAACATGGACTTACACCTGACTCTGCAATGACATTTGACTTTGACATTTGACTGGATCCTCTAGCTCTTCAACATGGAGATGGTCATTTTGTATTCTTCTACCCCTAATTCTACAGTTTTGCAAATGGT